AGAGGCCAAACAGGGCACCACTGGTACCTGTCTTGAGCCCAGGCCAGCACACATTGCTTATGTGCCTTTTGTCCCCATCCCAGTGACCTTCAGCCCCAGAGCAGCTTCCAGGCACCAGGGACACTGCGAGTCAGCCCCAGGGCTCCATGTCAGGGAGCACCTCACCAGACAGCAGGTCTTCCTGTCTCTCTCCAGTTTGGCATCAGGTAATGCAGGACCACACAGGGAGGGGACAAGGATGAGGACAAGGATGCCTCCTGACCCCCTTTATATGGCCCTGTAAGTTATGGTTACAACATCAGATTTACTTTTTCACTTAGTCTGAATACCTCCCACACCCCCAGGCACAATCCTGAACAGAGAGATGAAGAAGGCAGCATTATTGTAAGAATCCAGAGCACACAGAGCATGAAAAGAGAGAAAAAGCCCAAGGAAACAAACTCCTTGTAGCACCACTTGCAGGGAAGAACACGGGTAGAGGCAGCTCCAAGGAAGCCGTGGATGCTCGGTCCCATTACGGCCCTGGCAGCAGCAGGGATGACAGAACTTTAGGCAGCAGTGCATTGGTGATGGGGAGTGCCTGCCTGACCTTTGAGCATCCCCCTCTCCTTCCCTCCACGCCGGGATTCCAAGGCCACCACAGGCTGGCAGCACTCAGGCTAAGCAGAGGAGGGAAGTGACAGAGCAGCACCATCCCCACGCACGAGCAGCTGAGCTCAGAGAGGATGAGAGCCCGTGCTGGAACCCCGGCTGTACATCAGAGGTTCATATTTTAACAGCTTTGGCATCACCAGGGCTATCCATCACCAGCTCATTTTCCTCCCTGCGCTGAGCTGCTCCTCTGCTGTTTGGAGCAGTGTCTAATGAGACACCGGAGCACCACCTGGCAGCACGGCTGCCAAGGGACACACACGGGAAGAAGAATACACACAGGTCTGCACACTGCTGCCAGCTTCCACTGCCCAGAAAGCTCCCTCCCCTCAAGCCTGCTCCACTCCTAACAGACACCAGGGATGCTCTGCCTCCTGGTCCTTCTCCATGTGAGAGAAAGCACACGCTCCTAAGCCACTGCTCTCTTAGAGAACAGAAAACAGAGCACAGCACAGGTGATGTTTTCATGAAGGCTCATCCAACACTACAGTGCTCTTTTTGAGAGGTTGAAGAAAGGACAAAGAAAAAAAAATTAATTGTTTCTAGCCCACAGACAAGCACAGCTTAGTCAGAACATAGATGTGGGGCCAGGGATATGCAACATGAGGTGATGCAGTGTTGCAGCACTAAAAACTTGCTGTGAGACTGTGAAGACATAGGCAGACCTGGACAAAGACAGACTCTCTGGAGCAAGGCAGCCCCAGGACACTTTGGAAGAGAGCCTGCACAGGCTCCAAGTTTTGTTTTTAGTGTGAGCTGACCTGAGTACTTCTGACTGGTTCTCAGTGAGCAGTGCCCTGTCACTGGGCAGCAGAGCCTAAAAGTAACTTTGCCCACGTCTCACAGGAGCCACAAGCCTGGTCTGAAAGCAGCTGAGCTGAGGCATGGCTCTCGGCAAAGCTCATCAGCTAAACACAGGGTGAGCCCTCAGGAAAAGCCAGCCCTGTGTGACATCCAGCGTCCCGGGACACTCACTGCGGGGACACGAGCAGCAGCACTCCTGCACGGCAGAAGATGGGCCCTGACACGGGAAATGTGAAAGGAACAGCGTGGGCAGGCTCAGCGCAGAACTCCCTCATTCCAACAGCAACCTCCTGCTTCTGCACCACCTGCCACATCTCTGGGGATGTGCAGGGATCTAGCAAGAGCCATGTGAGCCCAATGCCCAACTCTGTTCTTCAGGTCTTTGCTGCGGTGGGGGGAGAGGGGGATGTGACACGAAGCGGGATGCAAAAGTGGAGTACTGGAGAAGCAAGCACCTACACCTCTAAATCCTGACTCCAGGGCTCACCCGGCGCTCGAAGCTCTATCAGACATCTGCAGGAGAGAGCCTCTCTCCTCAGATAAATCAGCGCCTTACCCACACAGCGCCGGCCGAGAGCCGGGCTGCGGCGAGCCAGGGGCACGGTCCGAGTGGCAGCACGGGCTGCGGCTGGCGCAGGGAAGGATCCGAGATCGGCAGTCAGACAGACCCATCTCCAGGGCAGGCGGGGAACTGCAGCTCCGCGCTCTCCTCGGCCTGCCATCCGTCCCTCAGAGCGCACATCCCGGCTGCCGGGGCCGCTGAAAGGGGAACGAGCTGTAGCGAACGCGTCAAGAGTTAGGAACGTTTCTCCATTGCCTCCTCAGAGATAAAGGTCTGTAAGTTAAAGCTTTGAACGGCCTCCGCAGAAAGTGATTCGTTTTAGAAAATGAGGCACTCCTTTACAGGTCACTAAAAGGGCTTGTAGATGATACATCAGGCAAAAAAGTAATAAACTTTTGATACATCAGGCAAACTTCACCAGATACTGAGGAGCTGATAATGACGTTTTAGCAAGTGAAGATGAAGATCTCCGCACGCCTGCTGTTGATAGGAGGTGGCTGTGACCTTGCCCCTTTCAACACCCTCTGTGACCAAGTACCTAACTTGCCACAGGGGCTGCAAAATCTACAAAACATCTAAGTCTTTGTTGTCCTTCACTGTCCTGGCTGCTCCTAGGAGGCTTTTCATGCCCGCCGCTGCTGGCCGGGCTGCCGTGGCTCTGCTCCCTCTCTGGCTTGCTGCCGGCTCTCAGAGGGAGCTCACCAGGGGAAGACCCATCACACCCAACACAGATCTCCCCCATTGCGCTCTATAAGCCAGCTCTGGACCTGTGGCAGTGGTCTCCCCTTTCCTGTGCTTTTCACAATTATTCTTGGCATTTTCCTTATCTTCTATTTTCTTTGCTTTTCTCTCTTATGAAGGAAAAAAAAAAAAAGTTTAATGATCGCTTTGTTTTCCAACATCTAACCTCATTTATGTTTTAATCTCGCTTGCAGGTATGTTTAGAACCTAGCTCCTTTCCACAATTATGGATCAAGGCAAAACTTGCCTCTCCTCACCTCAGGTGGATCAGAACTCCAGCACAGACACGTGGCAGTAGAACAGACTCAGCAGGGAGATGAGCTGCTCACCTGCTCAGCCTCCCACTCTCTGGCTGGGCTTTCCCCAATCCGTGCATGCAGCTGAGCATCCCCACAGCTCTCTGCCCTAGTGCCTCTCCCCACAGCACAGCCACCACAAGGGCTAGAGGCAGGAAAAGAGCTGCAGCCCACACCTCTGCTCAAGTCCAGCTCTGGCCTGCAGGCCAGACACAATGAAGAGATCGCTCTCCAATGCTGTCAAAAGGAAATGAGCACCCAGCACAGCCCTTGGCTCTCTCCCCCAGCCAGCCCCACTCTATTGCAGCAGGGACAGAGCTGAAGGGGAGATGCTCAGTGCTGCTGCCTCCTGTGCACTCCCTAGAAGCATCACGTACATCCAGGCTGGCCCCCATCAGAGATCAGCATCTGTCACAGCTCATGAGACTCAGCAGCACCTCACAAGCTGGAGAAACCCAGGACTGCCCCGTTTACTGTCACCTTAAAACTTAACACAGCTCTGGTTCCTCCTGCTACTCCTACCCTGATAGTGGCTGTGAAGATAGGACATTAGAACCAGGCATCAAGTCCCAACCTGAAGCTGACAAAAGGCACTGCAACAGGTTGTCCAGAGAAGTTGGATGCCCAAGCACCCAAAGCCAGGTTGGACAGGGCTTGGAGCAACCTGGTTTGGTAGAAGGTGTGTCTGCCTGTGGCAGGGAGGTGGACATGGATGGGCTTTAAGGTCCCTTTGAACTGAAACCGTTCCATAATCTCCCTTCCAGGATATGGACCATGTGTTTTCTCCACTCCACCACAGACCCTGAGGCAGCACGTCTGTGCAGGAGCCCAGGACAGCCCCCCACACCCCGGGAAGGAGCTGTACAGGGCAGTACAGACAGCAGGTGCTGTACAGGGCAGCCAAGCCACCCAGCACAGGGTCACGGCTCTGCACACAACACTCAGCCCTGCGGGTTGCCCCCGCAGAAGAAAAGGGCCCATGCTGCCTTCAGGGCCCTGGATCCCTCCTGTGGGAAGCACTTGGGGATACAAGGAAAGGCAGTGAGGGCCAGTCACTAATATGATGGTCCAAGGCAGAACACCAGCCCAGTCCTAGCCCAGTTTAGAGCCCTGCAAGATAAAGTTCTCTTTAAAGACACTGGGAGCAAGTAGAAATGATGGCCAAGTGTCTAGAAAGAAAATAGTTTGTTTTTCCTATCAGTGAAGCTCATTTTGCTTCAGTTCTGCCTATCCCAGAAAAGGAGAAAGCTTTCACCAGAAGGAAAAATGACCAAAAAACCCCACAACAAAAAAACCCCACAAAACCAACAAAACCTAAATTAAACAACAGCAATAACAAAAACAATACACAAAACCAGCTAACAAGGAAACACTCTCATTCCCACAGCCCACCAGAAAAACTCCCAACCAAACAAAGAACTACAGCTTTGAAAATAGTTTATAAACATTCAAAGAACCCTTGACCCAGTGCTAATTTCATCCTATTGACCCAGGGAGATTTAGCATCTACTCTGACCAGTATAAAATGCTAACTTGGGCGGAAAGACCCACCACAGTCAGGAAGCAGTTGAAGAACAGCAGGAAAGTCAAAAACAGCAGAAGTTTTTAGCAGTCAGGAGTCTGACAGCCATAGTAAGGAGTTTGGAGAACTGCAGAGAGCCCACTGTGCTCCCCGTAATGACCCCAGCTTTGCCCAGGCATACCCTGTGGTCCCTGCTCCTAGTTGCAATGGTTGTTTTCAAAGAACAGCTGTTCTTCCAGCCCTCCCAAACAATCCCCACGGCCACAGTTTAAACTGCCTCACAATTTGTGATGCAAAGATCAAAGACACGATCTGTATTTCTATGCATTTTTTATTTGCAGGCAGACAACACGAGGCTTTGCTTTTTCAGCTGAGTAAGACCAAGCACTTTTCCTGCAGGGCTGGTCTCTCGCGGCCCGGGCGGTCACTTGCTGCTGGTGTACTTGGTGACAGCCTTGGTGCCCTCGGAGACGGCGTGCTTGGCCAGCTCCCCGGGCAGCAGCAGGCGCACGGCCGTCTGCACCTCGCGGCTGGTGAGGGTGGCGCGGCGCCCGTACTGCGCCAGGCGCGAGGCCTCGGCCGCCAGCCGCTCCAGCATGTCGTTCACAAAGGAGTTCATGATGCTCATGGCCCTGGAGGAGATGGCGAGGTCGGGGTGCACCTGCCGGGTGGGAACCAACACCGGCTGGAAATCACACACCCAGCGCCCTGGGAGGAGCGGGAGCTCCAGCGCCCAGCCCTGACAGGGCACCCTGACTGCCACCCTGAGGGTTTCAAATCATGGGCCACTTTAAACTCAGGATAGGCTCTCATAAAGCTGTAGGAGTTTGGGATTGCACTGGCAGAACCCTCCTCACAATCCCTGTGAAAAACATGGCTGTGAGGGATGGAAATACTCCCATCTCCAAGTCCTATTTACAGGCTCATGCAGACAACAGTGGCCTAGAAAACTCATGGCCACTTCCAAAAATGCTCTCATCTCCCCATAAAAAATCACTAGACATCTACTCTCAAGGCCAGAAGCAGCTATTTCTACTGTACTGACTTGCATGAAATTACTTCTTTAGGCAGAGCTAAGCATCAGAGCTAAGCATCAGAGCTCATTCCTTCTGGGAAACACTTTCTGCTCTGGATCCATCTCTACTACCCCTAGAATCCACCCCCTCAACTTCTGAGCTCCAGCTGGGGCTCTACTGTACCTGCACTTACACTGTTTTTTCTTTTCCCATCTCTCCAGAAAGCCAGATTTTTTTCTTCCTTGCTCTTTATGATGCTAACATACAACAAGCAGAAGTTACTTTATGTACAAAGCAATTTCTAGCAGAAAAGAAACATTTACTCACCTGTTTCAGTACTTTGTAAATATAGACTGAAAAGGCTTCCTTTCTCTTCACCTTCCTCTTAGATCTTTTTTCCCCAGGAGCAGCAGCATAACCACGTTTCTTCAAAGGTTCTGGGCTCATCTTAACCTCCAACAGAACAGGCAGCAGGTGCTGTGGGGCTGGTTATATAGCACAGGCAGCAGGACCTTATCTGCCTCAGTTGCAGCCCCCAAGAAGCAGGACAAGTGCACACCTGTGGCTGGTGATTCACTTTGCACTAAATGAAAAGCAGCTGGCCTGAGAGCAGCTTGGAAGTGACAGATTCAGCTAAACTTTCAGACCTGAGAAATTTGAGTGTAGCTGGGGCAAAGAGGGGCAAGAGCAGAAACATCTGGTTTACTGGGGACAGAATTACCAGAGAAGAGCCATTCCCAGGTCCAAAAGGAGTTTGGTGAAAGGAGGGATCTTGCTTTGGTGCAAGGCTGTGAATTGGAGTACTCGAGGTACTCCAGAATCAAATGGAATCACATCTGTTCTATGGAACAGGTAATGCCATCAGGGGAAACTCAGTAACTGCAGGGAGCATTGGTCCAGAGATGAAATGATGGCACTGTAAACATCCTACCAGCCAAATTTCCCCTGCTACCTAGCCTGCTCTTGGGATGCCACCTACTGCCACAACAGGGCCTGGAATGTCAGGAGGGAGGCAGTGGAGGGCTGACACCCCAGGTGTGGATTTGACTTGTCTTGGAAACCAGTGATTACACTAATGAGGGTAAATGTGACACAGGATTTAAGCTTAGCCAGGAAAAATGTGCAGCAGCACAGCAGAGACATGAACAAAACAGAGTTTTCTGTACTTTGGAGAGAAAAGAAAGCCTTTCAGCAGACACCACTACAGCCATTTCATAAAAGGGTGATGCCAGTATGCTTGTATGGTGGGGGAACACACCTTGTTTGGTGGGGGTCTCTTTGCTGACATGTGGAATCCCCTGCTCAGGTGCACACCATACTGGCACATCCTGAGCAAATCACATCTCCCAAAGAAGGAGCCTGGGAGGCCTGCTCATCATCAGTCAGTGATTCTGCTACTGCTTGTGTTTCACCGAATTGCTTTATTCTCAGCCTGTCCTCATGGGGAGGCACCTGATCACCCTGCCCCAGTGCAAATAACAGTCACAGTGACAAGGGGGGCAGTGACAGCGAGGCTCCCAGAAACTGAAACATTACTGATCAGGCAGTACAGGCTGCAATGGTCGTGTCGGTGTGTTTGTGAAGATACGTGGCAGTGGGATCCTCCTGAAACAGGAGTGACTAATACTGGCAGCGAGGAGCAGGGGACATCACCACTCGTAAGGGGCGCTGTGTTGTCAGGAGCAGCGCCGGGCTCCCCTCGGAGGGACATCCCACCCTCCGTGTAAAGGAGCTGTGTTTCCTCGGTCTCGGGTCACAGCACGCAGGGAGGGACTCTTGTATCCCTCCCCAGCTACCACCCTGTTCATGATACACCGTGTTACACTGTGATAAACACACAGCTGTCTTTTCTGAAAAACCCGTTTAGTTGGAAGGGAGCCTGTTGGCGGAGGAGCAGCAACTGCTCACTCAACATCAGGCACAGGCAGTCTTTACACACCAAGGGTGGAGGCTCGGCTACGGAGCAGTACAGTCAGCTTTGGACCCTCAGGTTTGGAGAATTACCATCTGCTTCCCTGCACTGCATGTGCTAGAGGCTGTACACGCTGCTGTGCTGGGTCTGCCTCATCCTGCTGCTGGTTTTGTGGCGTGTGGATCGACTTGCAGCACACACACAAGGGAACGCCACGCGCCTGCACCTGCCGCATCTGGCTGTGTTAGAGCCAACCTTTCTTTTGGATAACAGACAAGTCTGACTGTGCAGGCGCTGGGTCACTTTTACAGAAATTACCATCCTAGCACCTGAGGAGCAATTATTGTAATTTATCGATAGTTTTGCTTTTCTGAAAACCAGAAAATTCTCAGCTGAAACAGCCTGAAGTGGCACTGCCTCAGCTTGTTACTGTCTCTGAGATCAGTGCTCCAGGACATCTGTCTGCCACAGCTGCTTCAGCACAGCCCAACACACTGTCACCACAGAACAAACTGAGGTTAAATCAAGGCTGTTAAAGCACATTTATGGATTCTATTTTACAAGTCCTGGCCTACGGTGACCTCTAGTACAGCTACAGCTTCTTTTGCTTCAAACATGTGTCTGTGGACCTTGTTTATACATCAGAGACATCTCTGCACCTGGGAAGTTCCTCTCTTTGCAGCAGCAGATAGGTAACAGCTCTTCCTGGCTCCATGAGCTGCAACAATGCTCCAACTACTGCCTGTCATGCTGGCTGTCATCCCAGCATCCCCAGGACATTCTCAGGATTTACCATTCCCAAAGAACTCAGGGTAAGATTGTATCCTCCATGTACTACCCGCAGATCTGAAATGTAGTGAAACGAATTGCTGCCAAATCTTTGGTAAGGAAAAAAAGTATAGGACAAATAGCTCTAGCTTCAGTAAGGACTCTGACAGCTCACCATTCTCAGAGCTACTTCACAACCGTTTCCAACTCACCAACACTTTCTACAACCTAGAGAGCAGAACAAACTGCATTAATCTATTATTGTTTAACTTGCGACCCATCAGTCTTTTCAGTAATCACTTCCCTGTGAGTTTTCACAGCCTTGCTCTACCTGATAACTTCCAAGTCCTCCACTGTGAGATATTCATCCAGGTGACATTTACTGCCATCTAGACCTTTCTGCAGAACTAACTTGGAAGCACTTATACTGACTGGCATTCTTTTCCCAGAAAACATTATTTTTCTCCTCTCAGGTCATTGCTAGAACGAATAAAAACCTGAAGGGTCCTATTTAATCTACTGGAAGCAGCTTGCATTGTGATATTTGTCCTGTGGATGACACTCAGTGCTTCCACAGCAGCAGTCACAACTTGGATGGGCCCTTTGGGAAAGAAAAATAAGGAAAGACTCTACTCAAAAAGTTAAAGCCAGTCAGCTGCACCAAAGAATGCTCTGCATGGGAGCACAACTCCTTTGTTTGTCCTTTCATTCACCCGGGCACTTGTGCTGCCAGATGGGCTGCTGGGCTACACAAGCCTCTCCTCTAACCAGTGCTGTCACTCTCATGTGTCAGAAGAAATTAAAACAATGACTCACGATCAAAAATAGCTATTAGGTTCAATTTGCTACTTATCTTTCTCTTTAGTACCCTTTATTCCAATACTAAATTAAAAATGTGTTTTATTCAAGCTTCTGTGGCTCAGGGTGAGGTTTGAACACCAACTTTTCCAAGAATCTGTTACTGAGAACAAAAATAACAACTAAACTTCAGTTGATCAGTCTTTAGTTAAACCTGCAAGGAACAAGGAATTAATTCAGAGTCCAAAATTCCTACATTATTGAGTCTTATTATTAGACAATTCAAGGTGAAGCAAAAGGCCACACCTGAGCCAGTGTGTTTGCAAGAACACACACTGGTGTTCCACAGACCCACGTTCTAACAATGATCTTCAGAACACTTTCAAGTTGTGTCTGTCACTGTCTGACACAGGCATCCGTGGCCTGTTCTGACTCACTGGAAATGCAGCGCTCAGTCTGGCTGAGCCGACGTGCCCCAGGTGAGGGCCCTGCTCAGTGCCTCCACAGCTCAGTACTCACCACTGCACATCTCATCTCTCAAGTTCTGGCCACAGCTTTGCTTGTACTGAGGAACTGAGCATTTAGCAGGAAGGGCTGATCTCACCCAAAGCTCAGGACTTGCTGACTCGCCCCAGCACAACCCAACTACCACGGCTCACAAAACAAGACAAGATTGTTTTTCTCTCTTTATTGACTGACGGATTCTCAGGCAGATCTGTTAATTACACTGTTAAATAATAGTTAAAAACAAACCAAGGCCAGAGGAGTTTGAAGTGAAGTATCTAAACTGAAGCAGAAATTGGGAAGGAAAAGGCAGGAAAAGCTGGGCTGGGGTCTCCACTTGTGGTTCACTGCAGCTTGGACACCCCAATGGCCACTGTTGTGACCCCAAGCCAACAGATTCCAAGGCCTGGCTCAGATGGGACGTTGTCTAAATAAGGAAACAGTTGCCCAAATGTAGCCAGATCAGAAGAGAACAGCTCTGTCCAGACATAGAGGCGCAAGGCAAGTCGAGGGGAAGCAGTATTGCAGCAATCCTAGAACACAGCCAGAGGGAGCAGCAGCTCTGCTCCTGCCGAGTGGCGCGGCCGCCGCCAGCCCCAGGGAGAGCACGGGCTGGGGCTCCTCAGCTCACACGTTGTGGGTCCGTTTGGTGAGCTGCGGGTCCTCATCCACCAGCTTCGACTTGAGATGCTCCTTGTAGGCAAGGATGTCCCCTTGCCACTTGGTGATTGTCTGCTTCTCACAGACCCAGATCTCCTGTGCGACCTGAGAGCAAACACATGAGCAGGAGGAGGAGGAGGAAGAGAGAGGTTTGCAGTGCCAGTTTTTATAATCTTACCAAAATTATAAAGTTAACTAAAACTACTCTCTGAAGTCTGGCAGAAAAGTTTGATAACTTTCACATTTAGACTACCAAAGAGAAGTATCTACACGGAAACATCTTCCCTGATGTTTCCTGAATAATTTGTACAAGATTTTAGAACTGAAAGTTCCAGGTCCCTCTACATTTCTGGTTTTGTTCATGGACTAAGATGAAAAGCCTTTCTTGCTAAATTGGTAATTGAAACAAAAGTAGTTCTTGACCTGAACTACTTGGATCTATCACAGTGAGAAATAAAATCATACCGGAACTTGCAGCCAAAGCTATAGCAGATAGATCAGCACTTCACATTTGTAGTGGTTTTTGTTTTATTTTAAGTACCTAATGTTTTCCTGGGCTAGCTCACCAATTGTTTAACACGAACACAGTAAGGGAATGGTGTTTTTTTTTCACTCACCCATCTTTTTGGGATGAGTAAGAGCCAGTCAGTTGAAAACACCTTGTTTTAATGACTAAAATGTTAGAAAGGTGCTCTGAAAAAACTCACAACTCTCCTTACCTGTTGGATGAGTCTGAAGTCATGGCTGACAAGCATCATTCCTCCCTCGAACTCATTGATAGCATCTGCCAGTGCATCTATGGTTTCTATGTCCAGGTGGTTGGTGGGCTCATCCAGGAAGAGCATGTGAGGGTTCTGCCAGGCCAGCCAGGCAAAGCACACACGGCACTTCTGCCCATCAGAGAGGTTCCTGATGGGGCTCACCTGCCCAACACACACATGGCTTGCA